GTAGTGGTAGTAGTGGTAGCAGTGGCAGTAGTGGCAGTAGTAGTAGTAGTAGTAGTCGTGGTACTAGCAGAGCAAGTAGTACTAGTAGTACTAGTAGTACTAGTACTCGTAGTAGTCGCAGTCGTAGTCGTAGCTCTTGTCTTGGTAGTAGTAGGTAGTAGTAGTTAGTAAGAAGTAGTTAGTAGTTAGTAGATAGCAGTTAGTAGTTAGTAGTAGGTAGTAGGTAGTCAGTAAGTGGTAGCAGTAGTAGTAGCAGCAGTAGTAGCAGTGGTAGTAATAGTAGTAGAAGCAGCAGGAGCAGTAGTAGGAGCTGGAGGAGTACGAGTAGTAGGAGCTGGAGCAGGAGTCGGAGCAGGACTCGGAGGAGTAGTGGCAGTCGTTGTAGTAGTAGTGGTTGTAGTAGTGGAAGTAATAGCAGAAGAAGTAGTAGTAGTGGTGGTGGTAGTAGAAGTAGTAGTACCAGTGATAGTAGTGGTGGCAGTGGCAATACACCGGTAGTGTGGACCCAGAGGTAACAGTGGTACTACTTGTAGTAGCAGTGGCAGCACTGGTAGCAGCAGCATCAGCAGGTACATCGGCATTAACAGCAGTACTGGCTCGTACCTACTAGGGCTGGGAGTGGGAGTAGGAATCATAGCAGCAGCAGTAGTAGGAGTAGTAGTAGTAGCAGCAGCAGGAATAGTAGCAGTAGTAGTCGTAGTAGTAGTTGTAGTAGTAGTAGTAGCAGTAGTAGTAGCGATAGTAGTAGTAGTCGAAGAAGAAGAAGTAGTGGCAGTAGTAGTAGTAGTAGCAATAGTTGTTGTTGTAGTACTAGTCGTAGAAGTCGCAGTCGTAGTCGTAGTTCTAGTCTTGGTGGTAGTAGTAGTAGTAGTAGTAGAAGTAGTAGTAGTAGTAGTAGTAATAATACAAAATAGTAGTAGTAGTAGCAGCAGCAGTAGTAGTAGTCGTGGTGGTAGTAGTAGTAGTAGTAGTAGTAGTGATAGTGGTAGTGGTAGTGGTAGTGGTAGTGGTAGTGGTAGTAGTAGTAGTAGTAGTAGTAGTCGTAGTAGTCGTAGTAGGCTAGTAGTAGTGGTAGTAGTAGTAGTACTAGTAGTCGTCGTAGTCGTAAGTAGTAGTAGTAGTAGTAGCAGCAGCAGTAGTAGTAGTAGCAGTAGTAGCAGTAGTAGCAGTAGTAGCAGTAGTAGCAGTAGTAGTAGTAGTAGTAGTAGTAGTAGTAAAGGGAGTAGGATGAGGTGCGTTACTGACAGCAGCAGGGGTAGCGCATTGGTAGTGCACGCTGGTGCAAGAAACCGAAATCCAAAGCTGGACACTTGTCTGGTTGCTGTTGACTTCTCGCGAACCGACACCCCCTAGCTTCTTTCTTGAGTGGTGTATGGGCAGGTCTCACTTAGACGACTCGGCATGTTCTCCCTGAATGTCTATCGAACCGGCACGCATATTCAAGCATGTCCATGAGCCCGGAAAAAGCCAAGTCCATCCTACGGGTCTGAAGCAGTACCCTCATCATGATGACTCGATCGCAAAGCTGCTCGTCTCCGTCGCTTCGGGGTGCAAAGAACACGTTCCCATCTTGGATCAGCGAGCTTCAAGAGTTGGGGAGCCTAGAATCCGAACGGCGGCCCTTCCTTCTGCTCCAGGAGTAGCATTGCACAATTTCGTGGACCCCTGTGGTGGTTTCGGGCTCAGAAAGCTGGATGATTCTGCAGGTCATGTCAATGGCTAGTTCTGGAAAAGCTCTGGCTATGGTGGTCGCAAACGACCTTGGAGGTTTGACTCGTAACAGTCTACATACTGCGACCGAATGTAGCGGTCGAAACTTGGAAACAGTTAAAACCTGGTTTTGCTCTCCATAAAACGACTATATGGGAAACGACTATTCATCATTCAGACCGCCGCATTCTGCTGCTCAATTTGCTTTTAGACTTTTAGGACTGCCGGTTCCGTTTCGTAAGCTGCGGCCGCTTGCTGCTCTCGTGCCAGCTGAAAAAGCGGCTCCTCCGTGCGGATCACCTTCCTCACCCAGACGGAAACAAAAGCCAAATACAGCGACGGTTTTTGTAGCATGCCGATCTGTTTGCCAGCCATTGCGGCTCGTCAACGATTGCACGTGGTTTAGAAGCGTGGACTGTGCTGCTACTGTTTCTGCGTGAAAGGCTTGACTGACATCGGCTTTGAGGCCCGCCATCCGCGCGTGCACGAGTGGGGTCATTGCACAATATAAAGTATCGGACGTCCAAGCTGCCGCTTTCCGTGAGATACTTTGGTCTCGGACAGGTGGTACGGATTGCGAAGTGGTTCAAGCTGGGCTGGCAGAAGTTCCTGGGATGGCAAAAGCACACATGTGCGCAGCTGCAGCGGATTGTTAAACCGAATGCTCTTCATTCGATGGCTTTCCCTGTAAGCGTAGTAAACACACAAACTCCAGATCTACGAGGGGCTGATCGTTGCACACCGCTGAGGGCTCCAGCCTCATGCACATGTTGCAAAAAGGCGTCCTTGGCTGCACACGCTCGTGGAAGTGCACACAAGGTACTGCCATGGTGGAAGGCCATGTCTGCGCAACCCAACTGCATGTGCTGTTTAGCTGCTGGAGCCGCTGCTGCTACTCAAGCATCGGACCGAGGACATCATCGCCCTTTTCTGGCGAGGCAAGTGTCAAGATTCCGTCCGTGGAGCAATCGATGTTAGCCAGCTTGTGCTGGTCAAGCCTGAGTCAATGACAATCATCCCGCGAACAACTTCCAGGCAGACTCTGCCAATTGAAGGCTACACGGACAGAACCCAACGTTCACAACTACCAAACCTACCGCTTCAAACAGCAGGAACCTCCCGACGCAAGTTCACGGACGCGTCTCAACCCATTCTTCGAACACGAACCTCAGGAGTGCGACACATGCCCAGAACTATCCAATCTTGCAACATAACCACTGGAAACACCTCGTCGTGGTCGTGCTCTCGGGGTTGCACTTACTTTGTTGGCTGGGCTATGATTGCGCGTCTGTGAGTCTGTTTTGACACAAGAGCCAGAACACGTAAACGTGTCAATACAACGTATATATATATATATATATGTATATATATACATACACACATGGCAAGACCTTAATGCCCTGCTTGGCCTATGCTTTTTCTATTGCATGACATCCTCTGTATGCCGGGCTTCTATTCTAACTAGTTGGAGTTTGAGTAGTCATTTAAGGGGAGCAAGAACACTCAAAAAACAACAAAGTGACAAGATCTGGTGTAAAATACCGAGTAGGACTGATCGTGCCATTGCTCCTGATGCTGCTGAGGATATACCGTGACAGTTCCCACAACTGGAATCGCGTTCGCGTGATGCAAATGATAAACCCAATACCGCACGGTCTGTTGTAAGGCCGAATTGCCGACATGTTCAGGATTGCTGTTGCTATTCGCAGTCTTAAACTAGTAAGGTTGCAAAACAGAGTAGGTGCGACTAATGCTCCAAAATCTGTAGCTTTGGTGGCATGACTGTTTAGGTTGACTGCAGTTTGACGAATGCGGATAACATTGAATTGAAGTTGTTACATTTTCTTCTAGTTTTGATACTATGGCTGCTCGTGCACTACATATTAATTCGACTAGATATGCCAATCAACAATTTGCCGGACATGGCAAGATTCTCTGCTGGATTCTGTACAGACGCTGGCATCTGGTTTGCGGTATAAGGCCTACCGGTGTTGGCAACACTACTTCTGCTACCGCCATCAGTAACTATCTTGACACATGCAAATTATTCTACGTTACTACTGTCGGCTACACAGGAACCATTTGCGTCCGCAGGCATGTGTGGTGCAGGGATGCGAGGGGTGAGAATCCGGGAAGGAAAGACCCTCAGGCCCTGGAGTCTTCATCACGTCTCACATTTCACTTTTCTTCCAGAGTCGTCATTGGTTAGATCCAAGCGTAGAACATTAGAACGAGCACACCGCTTGTACATCTTGTTGCTTTTTGGCGGAAACTTGTAACCTGTCTGGAGCAGGTTTTGAGCCCAAGCGCTCGTGGGCCGTAAGTGTCGGACTCGCTATGGAATCCGTCCGGGGATCCGGGGATGAGCCTGCAGATGGAGTGTGAGTCCCAGAGTCGGAGGAAACCGTGAGAGAGTCCTCGACTGCGGGCGGTTCGCCAGCCTCGAGACGAGGTGATGTTTTCTTGTGGATGAGCAAGAGTTATTTCGTGACCAGGATCAACAAGAGGGGTCAGATCGTGTTGACTAGGAGGAAGAAGCAAGGCGCTCCTGCAGCCAGCCGAGGGTTTGGAGCCGGAGTATGACTTTGAATCTGTGGGAAGCGTCTAGGGCAAGGAGGAAGTCCTGGACCGGAGCAGTATCAAGCCAGTCATGGGCGTGCCGTCAAGGTGAGGGGTCTCAACCATTGGGTTCTGTGATGTCTGAAAGAAGGCAGACGAATCTGAGTCGTCCCAGAGCAGCTGTTGGAGCAGAACGAAGCCTTGAAGCGTCAGCTGGTTGAGACTGCATCGTCGAGGAGCTCAGATGAGTCAGTGAGGGGTAGTCCTGAGGGTAGAGATTGCGAGAACAATCTCGGCTGACGGCAGAAGGAGTTGTAGAGGTTAGAGGCCCGAAGGGTCCTAGGGAGCACAGGGTTAAGAGCGCTCTCGCACCTTCTATCCTCCGTGGACATCTTTTGCTGTGTCTGGTGATGTGGCCAGTGCCGGTCAGGCTGCGGTGATGAACCTTCCCCAGTGCACGATGTGGCTGTGGCAATGCGCACCCTGAGTGTGCAGGATGTGGAGTCGTTTCATGGCAGGTCGTCAGGTCAGCCTATGTCTACGTCCCATGTGAGGTTTGTGCAGACTAATTCGGTAAGTGCAGATCAGCCCTTCTCATCGAGCGCAGCGGGACTGCAGAGTGAGGGAACAGGGAAGGCTAGGGAGAACCCCTGGCCCTGGCAGCAATCGCGTGCCCGGGGAAATCCTTGGCTGCAACGGGAAATGATGCTGGAATCCAGGCAGCCGCCGCAACCACTCCATGATATGCCGACGCCGGCAGCGCCGGAGCCTCCCGTGGGTTCTAGTGGGTTTAGTCAGGGACAGAAGGTTAGGGTAGTGATCAACGGAGTTGAAAGGGACGGAGTGTGTGTGACTCGGAAAGGCACGCTATCCGTATCCCAGAACTTCCAAAGTTATATGCCATATAGATAAACCTACCGATGCTGTTGAAGAACCATCGGCATCACAGGTGTTAGCTGCCTGGAGTAACGACCCTTGGGAAGTGGATGCATTGTCTCCCTTTAGGTCGTGCCATCAAGACGCCGTCCCGCCTCCACCGCCTCTGTCTTCAGGAAAGAACGACAGGCAAACACAAGTGGGGGATGATAGCGGGTATAGCCGGGCTTCTGAGCTGCATCTGGAACTCCTCAAAGGCGTAGCGGTGACCCTGAACGTGCAAAGGTTCCCGAGAGACACCCTCCGCGATCACCTTGCCGAAGTCCAGCTGTTAGGTCAGGTAGGGTCCAGGTGCAAGTGTCTAGCAATGCAAAAGGTAAATTGTGTATTGTCCTCCTGTAGAATCAGTGAGTGTGGAAGGTCTACAGCAGTATACTTCGGATCGCGAGTTCCCTCGGGAGAACGTGCAATGTGGAAACTTCCCATCCTGGGGCCGGCTAGTGATCCTAACCCGCCCCACGACTGGTCACCCAAGATCAAGCCACTGACGTGTGATTTGGCTCCCACGGCTGTTGGGCGGTGGGACCGAGGCTAAGCGAGAGCATGATCGTTGGAGTAGTGCCCGTCCTTTAGAACGAACCAAGATGACTGGAACGCCGAGTGAGTTTCTGAGAAGCGCGAAGTTCATAAGGATAGAGGCCCCTTCCTTCTCACATCTTTGGTGCGAAACTGCACTTGACAGGTCTGATTTTCATGACCATGCGTACATACATATCAGCCTGGTGGATTGAGTGAACGAGCCGAGCTTTTGAGAGGACTTACCAACGTAGCCGTCTGCGCGAATGCATCGGTGGCCGTAACCAGATTGCATGCTTGGTCCATGGCTTTAGGGGACAAAGTAGCGCTTCCGCAATGTTTGAAGCTGGTTCAACGCATCTCGAGCGAGCCAGGGCCGTATCCATTGCTGTTCCCGACTCTTCACTGCTCCTTGATGCTATTAATAAAGGGGTTCAGGGGCTCTTTCAGCAGAATTCCACTCTGAACTTCAAGTTGTAAGCCGTTCGGATGCATCTTCAACCATGGCTCCTAATCAAAATTCGGTTGAAGAATATATTCGCACTCGTCTTGCGGAGTTCGAGCTGCTGTCGGTGTCTGTTCAGGAGACAGGGCCGAGAAGGCAGCGTGTTGCATCCTTGGCGCAGCCAGACTCGCAGGGTGGAGCAGGCAAGAAGGAAACTGGTGCCAAAGCAAATCAGACGGGTCAGCAATCCAATCAGGGAGAGACGAAAGGAAAAAGTGGGGAAGCGAAACCCAAGGTTGCTTGCAGGGCGTGGTCCACAGATGCAGGGTGCTAGTACGGAAAATTTGCACGTTTGCTCACAGTGCAGAGCGCCAGGGTAAGTGCTGGAAATGCGGAGGTTCGCACCAGGAGCATGAACACACAGCTCCCGGAGGTGTTAAGGCTGAATCCCAGGTGGCGAGGATGCATTCTCGGGCAAAGGAAAGGCAGGTGGCAAGGCAGGTGCAGGAACCACTAAGGGAACAGCTGCCAAGGGTGGCGCAGGAGCTTCTATAGGGGTTCTGGAGGATTGTCTGAAGAAGCCATACAGAAAGCTGCTCAGCTATTGCAAAGCCTTCGTATAGCACCGCTGCATACACACGTCGAGCCTCTTACGCGAATGCTTTCTGTCATGCAGAAGGGGGAGTCTAGGAGTCTAGGGGTTTGAATGTTGGTGGTGCGAGCGTCCAACCAGGCATTCCATGAAGACCCGTCCACGGATGCGGTGGAGCATCCTCAGGATCCAGAAAGTGCAGGATTTCAGTGGGTGAAGCTGCTAATCGACGCTAGGCCTCATGAGTTATGTGCCTCTTCGTGGGCAACCCCTGAGTGGAAGGTGTTGCACAAGGAGCTTCAGTTGGAGCCTATGCCATTCCATCAGGGCCCCTTGGGACACTCCAAGATTCAATCCAAGTGTGTGCATTCAGTGTATTCCAACGCTGATCCTGATCCTTTGCTGGTAAATTGTTGGGGTGAGGGACTGAGCACTGGATTGGATGGGTGTAAGGTCCGAGGTTCGGAAATGACATGGTCAGAATGGGCTCCGGGTGTATGGACCGCAGTCACCAACATGCTTGGGAGGACATTCCGCCGGCATGATCGGGGGCAAGAGCGCAGCAACGGCAGCACCGGAGAACGCTTGCACAAACTCTCAGAGTTGGAATTTCAGTGTCGATACTACGGGACCTTTCTCAGCAGCTCAGGACTGGATGAAAGCACCACTGAGGCAAAGTATCTGTTGATGGGTGTGTTGACCGTAGTTGATACGCCATCCGATATAGGGATCCGCACTGAACTCTTGAGGGGTACGCTGCCTCGTTGGATGATCGGGAGTGGTCGGTTGAAAGGGGCATGGGATTGGAGGAACCATTGAGGCCAAGGAGGCATGAAATGAGTGGGATAAAGGTCCTTAAGGCAAGCCGGGAAGATTGGATGAAGGGTGCGAAAACCTCTTCCAAAGGGCAAATGATTGACTTTGTGTTCACGGAAGAACTTGAGTCTAAACGGCAACCAATAGGAAGTGACAAGTATTGTAAGTCAGCGTAAGCTCACAATGCATCCTGTGAGTCGCTGTCTAGCCACACTGCGAAGCTGATGCGCTGCAAGGTTCGTCTCACGCAGCCACTCACCTAGACTGTCCTCACCAGCCTCCTGAAGGATGGCTCGAGTCTTGTTCTTGATACGAAGGGTAACGACTGCGAAAGCTTGACGCGATGCAAACTTTGTGCAAAAGGCCTTCAATGCTGAATTCTTGAAATCCTTTTCGCGGTCCGAATGGGATTCACGGACCGCGACTGCGTTCACGAAATGCCCTTCTGGTGATAGCGCTAGAGGTTGGGTTGTCAAGACTGCAGAGGCTCATATGTTTATGTAGTAACAGGCGAGGTGAAGTTCCACGTAAATGGGCCTCCGGTAAACCTAAATGCTCCTTTAGTGAGGCTTAGAGAAAAGTCCAAGGCTAGAAAAATTCAGGTCCCTGAAGACCAGATAAGCCCAAAGCATCCTGCTGACATCGTTGCGATATCTCTGATTGAGTCAAACAGCTGAGAGCCAAAGCATCTTGGGTCGTTGGCGCACTGCAACTCGATGGCGCTTGTGGCGAACGACAGGAATGTGTGTAATAAGAAGACCGGATCTGATGATGCGGGCCAGTCGTGGCCCACATGAAATTTTCGGAAAGGGGGTTCACTTTAGTGGGATGTCTGCGGTTAGGAGCGATGCAATTGGCCATCCTTGACCAAAGCGCAATCTGTGTGGGTACCTAGCCAAGCATACAGACGTGCCGTTCGCTGGCGTTTGACTGCATGGCACTCAATGTAAATCACGCTGTGCACCGAGACGTCCACAATCAGAAAAGGGTTCAGTTTCTTCGGGCGTGGTCTTCTGGATTCAAGACAAGCCTCGACTTGCAGCAGACGTGCCCGTGCGCAAGCGTCGCGAGCTCTTGAAGGTGGAACCACTATTTAAAGGCCGTGTGTACCAATACCGAAAGGACCCCAGTTGCTCTTGCTTGGGTACTCTGCCCGCCGGCTGCTTAAACTTGAGCTGCCAGATAGGAAGTGTCTCTGGGTGCCAGGGTTTACATACTTGCCAGGCTCAAAGCCCAAGAACTGGGGTTACAGCACTTCGCAAGGCACCTTGACTCGGTATCATCCCGCGCCTCGTCGTCAGATGTATGCTTTGTTTGATCAAGATTTGCTGCCCTTTCCCAGGTCTCGGCTTGGAGATCTTCGGTTGTGCGTCGTGCGTGCAAAAGTTTCAGAACATGTCCATGCCACTTCTTTAGGTTGCATGGGGTACTATAGGTTTCACAGGCGACGTGCCCTCATCCTAAAGCGATGCATGGCAGAGACCTCGGAGGCGGAGGGCAGGCATGAGGGCCGCTATCACATGACATGGGTCATTCCCAGCCGGAGGGCGCGTGGCGCTCTGACAGCGACTTCCATCGAACGCCGCAACGCCCCCGTTTCCACGCGGCTGCTGCACTCCGAGATCTGGTCTCCGAGTGTGGCAGCCCCTCTATGCTCTCAAGGCCGTGGTGGTGCATGGGATGTCCGTTGGACTGGTCGGTCTGTCTTCCAGCTGCGGCCTCATGACCCATCCTCTTTGGGGTGCAGCATCCGGTCTCTGATTGTGTCAGTCCTGTTCTGTTTATGGTACATTAGTGAGGAGGCTGGCAGCCGAGGTAGAAGCCGGAACCGGGGCAGCAAAGCAGATAAGAACCGTGGCAGGATTGCGCGTTCAATTGCACCGGTGTGTAGTTGGGGTGCTAGGTTTGGCACGGCATGTCCGGCGAATCCGAATCTGAGGGATGCAAGTGTTCAGGAAGCTGGGGCAGTGAGCTCACATGATTTCCCGAACGCTTTAGAACATCAGGCTCAGTCCAGGCCCCAAGCAAGAGTACTGGAGGAGGCCGGGTTGCCTGTGTTACGGTGTGATGACCTTGTCACCGGTAGGTTGAGTAAAGGCGCTGGGGCCCTTGTTTCGGCGAAGGCTAAGCCGAATTCGGTATCGGTCTGTGAAGAGTTACGTAAGGTTGAAGCACATGCTCTTAGGAGACTGTAGCGAGCTGCTGTGTGGTCTTCAAGCGAACCGGGCATTCGAGGTATGGGCACAGCGGGTGACATGGAAAACGTTGAGGGGCTAGCCCTGGCACAAGACTGCAGCTATGAGGATAGCTCGGGTGCCATGTTCGCAGGCGTGGGATTCCTGCACGGCACTGCCCTGCTGCGACGAAGAGGCAAGTCAGCTCAACATCGCTGCCCGCTTAATCCTTCTCCTCAGAATGACGCTGATCCTCCTGCTGTGGTGTGTCCTCAGCGTCGTGGGGAGTTTGCGTGACAATTTGCGTGCCGAGATCTCCGATCATCATGGCGCGTATGCTCATATGATGCGCTGTCTGTCGGCACGCATGTGGGCAGATGGGCACAGCTCTCAAGCAAAATCCAGAAGCTGGACGTGGTGGCACTGCACAGGCTATGTGTTACAGCTGAGTCTGATGTTCCTTGTGATTATTTCCGCACCTGGCATCATCATAGATCATCATGTTTTCCAGTGGGGCTACACCAAGGGCCGGTACACCAACAAATCATGTGGAGTGGCCATCTTGCTGCGACACAAACATTTGCCCTGGCAATGGCTCGTGAGGTGTACTCCCCACCTGATCAGTTGGCTGGGCAAGCCGGGGCCTTGCGCATCAAAGGCCGCTGCAGCGACTTATTGGTGATCGTTTGGTACGTGCCCGTTGAACTCACGCCAATTCTAACCGGAGACAAGTTGTCCACGCTTGCTACACTTGCGTGGATTCCTTGCTCTCACGGTCTCCGGTCCGCACGCTGCCAATCTTGCTGCTTGATGCTAATGGCAGGATGGTCTTGCAATGGTTGGGAGACGGCCCTGGGCAAATCGCTCCAAACCTCGCTCCAGATCATGATGCCACCGTCGGCCCATGGGGGGCCGAGCATCATTTGGCAGTTTCCAACACATAAAGCAGAGGATGCGGCGCTGCTTTCCATGGTCCGTTTGGCCATCCCTCGTGCACGGACTATGATGTCGTTCCTCAGGGGCTTCTGCAGCACGTCACGGATGTGCGAGTGTGGCGCCGCACCGGTTATCGCCTTCAGCTCATTGACAGTCCGGACTTGTGTGATCACTTGCCCCATCGTGGTGGACTTCAACTACGAGTTGTCTTTCCCGCAGCCGCAACGCAACTCCAGGTGGAATCTCACGAAACTCGGACGTGTAGTTGAAGGACACTCTCTAGCAAGGAAGACTTCCTGCGAGAAGTGCAAGCCTCAGCGGCCGCTTCGCCACCGCCTTCGGATGATGTTGGTATTTCATGGAATGCCCTCAACAACATCGTCTGTCGCCTGGCACGCCGCTTTTTCACGCAATCTGGGTCGCGACGCACTCAACGACCGCTTGACACACAGCAAGCTGCCGAGCAAGCAAGGTTGGCAAGGAATGATTACAGCGATGCTTGTCTTCAGCTACGACGCCAGCAACAACCAGCACAGTCAGTGAACCTTGCGTGGGCAGCGTGGCAGAAGTACCTGCAGTTCAAATCATTGCAGCGTCACTCCAAGCAGCTCTGTCGGAGGGATAGGCGCCATAAAGTGGATGACTCGGTGCGACAGCTACAGCAATCGGCGCGTGACCAAACACGCTGTTTGCAATGGAAGCTCGCCTACCAGATCGCGGGCGGCATGCATGGGCCATCCACAACGTTCGCGCCACAGCAGTGGGTCGATAAACTGTCACTTGCAGGACCGCGAGGCGGCTGTGCTGCAACACGGCTCGACAAAGCTTCTACTGATGCAATATAGCTGGCTGCCCATCTGGATGTTGTCATAGAGTTGATTCCGGGCAAGATGGTATTTGTCCGGAAACCTACTGGAAGACGCAAGACTTGTCTCGTCGACTGCGGCAATTTTTGTCAACAAGACAGTGGCGCTCAGAAGGCTGATCTTTATGCCAGCGGTGTTGGTGCTGAGGGCATCCGCATGGCGGTCAGAAGAGCAGGGATGGAGACTGAGTGGCACGTTGTCTCTGTTGACGTCAAGATAGCTTCTCTGCAGGCACCGCTGGTGGAAACAGAACACGGTGGGAAACGGAAGATCACAGTGGTCCGTGTCCCAAGTCTCCTCCGTCAGGCTGGAGTCACGGACTCCAAGTACTGGAGGGTCAAGAAGCCACTTTATTATGGCATGAGTAGTGCTCCGAAACGCTGGAGCAATGATCGTGACAAAGTATTGGCAGATCTTCAGGTGGCGCATGGGGAACACACCTGGTACCTTCAAGCTGACACGGATGCCTGAGGACCTAAATCTTTGGCAAATTGTTGCGGTTCCTTCACCTGTAGATGGTGCAGGTCTGAAGACCGCTCAGAAGGTAGGCGTCATGGTGTTGAACGTCGATGACATAATGATAATGGTTGCCGCCCATCCGCCCCGAAGAAGATCGCTAATTCAAGTCTTGCCGGGCCTACAGAGCCAATGGGCTTTGTCGGAGCCTGGGTGGTTATCCCATGTCGGAGGCTATATCTCAAGTTCGCTGGCTTCGAACTAGATAAAACGACCAAGGGTTTTAAACTTCACCAAGAAAGCTACGTACGTGATCTTTTGGAACAGTAGTTGTGATGTGATTCCTGGTCAAGAGAAGCGCCAGCCCTCAAGATGCTTCTGAGACAACCGACGAGACAGACATGCTGTCTGTGACGAGGAGGCAAGCCCTTACTGGACAGGTGCTGTGGCTTGCCAGCCACACGCGTCCGAATACATCCTACGCTGAGAGCATGGACAGAAAATAGTGCCCAACCCTCTTGAGGCTGTACCACACGCAGAACATGTAAATTCGATACGGTCATTTCGTCATGCCCCCGGAATTGGACTACATTACAAGCCTGCAAACGGGCGATGTGGTAAATGGGATAGAAACGGCCAAGTCTTGATACATTTTGAAGATGCTTGTTTTGCGGCGCGTAGCTTCGGAAGTATCCAGTTTTTTGGGGGAGGCACGCTTATAACCTGGTCGGCATTTCGGCAAACACTCCTAGCCTCCCACCGTTAGCGGATGCACTTCTACTACGATAAAACCGATGAGGCCAACTGTCGCTGCATTGATGGACGTCCCAGAGCGGGAGATTGTCTGCAAGCTTGTATTAGTCACACTGCAGCTGCCGTCCAGCCGCGTGCTGGAGGCTGGGTCGTGGCGTACTCGTCATTTTAGAGTGCGCGGAACAGTGATGCGACATGCTTTGCAAGTGGGCTCATGGAAGCTATCACATCTTGATGGCGTTTTCATGCCAGCGGATCTGGGAACGAAAGCAATAGATCCAGCCCAGCTAGGTTCGAGGACTGGATACGTGGTTGTGATCTTTGGGCCCCACACCTTGACAAATCCGTTGAAACTCCTCGTCCAGAGGTTGTTGCTCTGGAAGGAACCCAAGCAAGTGTTGCTAAGGCTCCATCGGCACTATTGCTGATGTTTCAGGTGTCAGCTGTGAGCGCGCAGTCAGGAAAGAGCTCGAGTGGCAGTTCGTTGCTGCAGGGGCTTTTGTTTGGTTTCGGAGCTGGTTGTGGTTTGTGGGTAGCCAAGCGTGTTGGTGGTTGGATGGATCGTCTTTGCAACCCTCCTCGTGAAACGTAAGAGAAGGATTGTTTCTGTAGTGCGGTCGGAACGTTTCGTGCCTCAGCTGAGGCCAAGAAAAGCAGAATGCGTGGGCCGTTTATACGAGAAGCTGTGAGGCGCAGGTAAGGGAGAATGAGCGGGAAATGCGTTTTAGGGATAGGCTGCCGCAAGGTATAGAACTTCACGGGTTTGATAGGGTGCAGCATGCCAGCAGCTCTCAGGAGGGTGGAATGCGTATTGATGAGGCTGCCAAAGCATATTGAGGCAAGGATGCCTCTCTTCGGGCATCTGATATCCTTGAGTTTTTCAAAGAGTGTGTTGACAGCCAGCGGTTCTTTAGCCTTGTATCCTGCAAGTGTTCCAACTGTTCCCCGTCCTCCAAATGATCCGACAGTGCCACTAGCTGTCACTAGCTGAAAACAACCGATTTGTGTACTTGGATGATGCAATACCTTATCCTGCCCAGGAGTCAGAGCCGTCTAATTCCGAGGGCGAGATCAGATGTGTCATCAGCTGAAGAAGCTGAAAGCACAGACCCGGGGGCGTACACCACCCGGGAGAGATCTTCGGATAGTACAGGGGGTATAGTGGTTCATTTTCTCGGGTAACCCGGCAACCCGGGTAGGTAATGTAGCTGTGTGTGTTGCACGAGTTGCTGTTGCAGTTGCAAATGCCTGCTTGGTCACAAGTCGGGCCCCAGCAGTTCTGACGAGGGTCAGCCGAAAACCCGAACCCTAGGACCCGACGGTTTAAGCCCTGACCCCAGAAGGGAGCACCCGAAGCGTAGGACCCTGAGGTTTAGGCCCTGAGCAGGAGACAGGTCATTTGGCCTCAGAGGACAAGAGCTACTGGCTCGCGGGAGGCGGTGCGAGTGGCTGTAGAGAACCTTCAGCGGAAACGGTTAACGCTCAGGACGAGCCTGGATGCTGGGGTCACTATGCCGAGTGAAAGTCAGCGCATCCTCGTTGACTAAGTTCCTAGGCCGTAAACAGTCAGAGCTTGCAAATCCTGTGTATTACTTTATGTTAACCAAAATGGTAAGTGTCTTCATGTCAATTACAAGTGCCAGGCCATGGAGTGGCCTGGTGACTTAAGGATGCGAGGTCAATGTCCGTACTGCATTTTATCGAAGCAGCCGATGAAACCTGTTTCATGGGGGACTGTCTGCCGCACAGGATTCACTTTCGTTCCCAGGCATGTGTGCTGCAGGGATGTGAGGGTTTGGAGCCCCCAACGTCAAGACGTTTCACATGTCACGTTTCTTTCAGTCAGAGTCGTTATTGACCATTATTGGTTAGATCCAAGTTGATCTACAGCTTTCGAACGAGCACCCCTCCTGTACATCTGGTCGCTTGTTGGCTGTAAACAAGCTTGCGCGCTGGTAACCTGTCCGCAACCACAATTAGCATCAGGACCACCATCTTGTATTCTCCGAA